GGCTTCGCCTGAAATCCTAGTACAGATTATGGAATGTCAGTCTAGCCCTATCGCGCCGCACATTGGTGGAGGCTTTTCTTCGCTAATTCGCCTTTTCGCGTCCGTCCAGCGAGGGGTTTTGGCCCCCCGGGACGTGCGAGGGGAGCTCTGGCCCCCGGACGCCCAATAAACGCCGAGGGGGAAGCGCAAAGCCGAAAAATCAGGGAGGAATGTCGAGCTCCCACCAAACGCGTTGTGTTTATGCGACTCATGCCCAGGGGGGCTGGTGGAGGGAGGAGGGGGGGAGCATAGAGGGTGGTGGGGGGGACGCACGGGGAGAGGGGAGGGAGGGCGCGCGGAGAGGGGGAGCTAAGGTACGTTTATAATTAGCTGCGTTGTGATTCCTCGGTCATGTTGAGTCCTCACCGGCTCGGAATCTCTCAATACATGTTGCAAGTTGCACACCGAGCCTCATGGGGTGCAAATGGCAAGAAGTATAAGGATCTGTGTGAGGCGGCGGCGGCGGCGGCGGCGGTATTGCGGGGAGAGGGGGAGTAGGGAGAGGAGAAGGAGATGGAGGAGAGAGGGAGAGGGGGAGGAAAAGGAGGCGAGGAGGAGGTGGGGTGATGGAGGGAGGGAGACGGAGGACGGGGTGGGGGGAGGGGTGGGGAAGGAAGGGATACGGAGGAGGAGAGGAGGGGAGGGGAGGGAGGAGGAGAGGAGGAGGGGAGAAGGAGCAGGAGGGAGGGAGGGCGGGGGGGGCGTGGGGGCTTGATGGATGGAGGGACGAAAAAAGGTGGCCAGGCGATGCTGCTCTCGTTCGAACCTCATTAAGTAGTGGTAAATTAAAGGCCCCTTTGGGTTCATTATTCCGTAGCTTTTTCGATAGCGATCTCCGTAGGGCGAACGAGGCGAAGACGTCGGGGAGGGAACAGAGGGAAGTCCTCCAAGTGGTACTGTCATTAATTACTGATGGGCATCTCGAGGCCCGGCCATGTAAATGCCCCTCTTCGCTGCCTTCTGCTACGGCCAGGCGAGGCTTAGAGTGGGCTCAAAAGTCTCCAGATAACCACACTGCATTGATTTAAAGCTAAATAAACTAGAGTGCGCGGCTACGGCACAAAAGGGCTGGCGCGCCGGCCGCTCCCTCTCGCGGAGCCCGACGCTGCGTCCGCTGAGGGCGAAGGCGGAGGCGGCGCTGGCGGTGACGGCGAAGAAGCGGCGGCGTGGACAGGGCGGAGGGAACATGCACACGGATCGCTTTCGGGACGGCCGAGCGCGCCGAGGACAGGGCGCTCCGCCTCGCGCATCGCCTCGCAACGCGCCCGACGCCTGGGCCGAGCGGCGGGAGGAGGCCGAGCGAAGAGCCTCCCTGGGCGTCGAGGTCTCCGCCGGCGAGGTCGGCGCTGCTTGCTGAGAGCGAGGGAGGCGGCTCAGGCTGCGGCCTCGAAGCGGAATTGAATCTTGCATTTTTATCACATGCATGTGAATAGTATATATGCTAATATGTACCTACAAATGCAGACTACCTCTCCCCATCCAAGCTATCTTGCTCCTTTTCTCTCTCACTCACATACTGCACACTCACGCAGATATATATATATATATATATATATATATATATATATATATATATATATATATATATATATATATATATGTATGTATACATATATGTATATGTGTATGTACACACACACACGCATATATATATATATATATATATATATATATATATATATATATATATATATATATATATATATATATATATATATATATATATATATATACATATATATATGTATATATATATATATATATATATATATATATATATATATATATATATATACATATATATATATACATGTATGTATATATTTAAGTATGGTTATATATATTTATCTATCTATTTATGTATTTATTTATTCATTCCTTTAGTAGGTATGTATCCAGATATACAGTTATTCCTATATGCAAATGTAAATACAAAAAGAACTTTGCCTACAAAATCATATTCCCACGAGGGCTTTGTAGCTTAGAATTCACAATCGTAAATGTACAGCATTACTACCACACGTATTAGTAGTTCCAATGCCATAATAATAATTGTTGACTCTATTGCTACTTCTGTTACAATACTACTATTGCCTGTTGCTTTACTATTACGACTGCTGCTGTTGCTACTATTACTACTACTACTGCCTCCTTTTCGTCTTCTTCTTCTTCTTCTTCGGTTGCTATCTCCTGCTGTCACTAATGATAATAATAATAGCAATAACAGTCACAACAAAGTTATTAACCAAAACAACAGCAACAACAGCAATGACAATGACAAAATCAAGCCACAAACAGATCACACCATCGAAAACGGAAAGAAGAAGAAGGAAGAGAAATAACAACAATAATAATAAAAAAGAGAAATAACAACAATAACAATAAAAAAGAGAAATAACAACAATAACAATAAAAAAGAAAAATAACAACAATAATAAACGAAAACCACTTCTTCATTTACCTGTTCATAGTCGAGCCTCGAGGTGAGAGTGAAGACGCCCGTCTGAGGGTTAAGGGAGAAGACGTCGTTCCCCCAGTCGGAGATGACGGTGTAGGAGACCTGGCCGTTGGTGCCTTCGTCCGCGTCCCAAGCCGTCACCTGCCCCACCTGTGCCACGGGAGGAGAGAGGAATGTAATTAGTGTGTGCTTGCTTTATTGGGTGTGTTGCTTAAACGTTTCTTTTTGCTTTTGGTATTTTAACTTTGTAATGAGGTTTGTTTTGAGTGTGTTCTTTATATTTTTGCTGTTTGTATGTGTTTTTAGCTTTATTTGAATGTGTTTCTGCTTGTTAAGTGGTTTGTTTTAAGGTTAGAATTTGTTATTTATTTTTTCTAATCTCGCTGCATTATATGTGAAAAATATATGATATAACATATCAAGGTTTATGTATCTATTTGATACCAGTATTATGATACAGAGAGATAAATGAACACAAGGGGCTTTTCGCAGCTAACGGGCAGCTACAGTGGCTTTAAAGGCTGTAACGTGTTTGATGGAGCAACTCCTATTAGTAAGGTTACTCGTTCTGCGGGTTCATCGCCATCGTCAGGGGGTGCGAGTCACCCGTTCCTCGTGCCCCATACAGACATACACACGCGTTCGTTCACTCACACAGATACAGACGCAAAAACAGGCAGACACACACACACAAACAAACAGACACACAAACAAACACACACACACGCAAAATAAACATGTAGAGGCACCCGCCCACACGCACGAGACCGGACGCCACAGATGCCCCCGCCCCCATACAAGTAACTCGAGGCCCAGCACATACACACTGCTATGGGAGGGCACCGAAGGGGAGAGCGAGCGAGAGGTCACAGCCGGAGCCACGGCGAGGCCAGGACCGCCAACGCTTCTAATTGGTCATAAAGTTCGTTAAGGGATACATAAATTTCAAGGCGGGCGCCCCGACTGCCAGATATGTACGAAGTCGGGCCGACGCTCGCCTACAGTGTGGCTGGGATGCGCACCCGACACATAGCGGAGGGGAGGCCACCGCGATTCCCCGGGACACAAACGGACACACAGGTCGGGTCTTCTTCCTCGTCGGTGCATGGGCACGCTCATGTCCCCCATGCCAAGACGAGGGGGAGGGTACAGCCATGCCACTCACAGTCACTCAACATATATGTCAGTCATACATCATTTCTTCTCTTCAGTAATTCAAAACGTATTCCATTACTACCTGGAACGTTTCAGACATACTCCTGTTTCATATGAATAGTATTATCACAGTAAAGCTTCAACCTAAAGGATGGTCTTCACCTTGCGTAACCATCACATCTTGATTCAGAATGAATATTACCTATTACCTATTACCTAATTATAGGATAAGTATATACAGTTCCCCTCTGCCTTTACCGTAAATGTAAAGAAAAAAACATTCAAGTATGTGTTTATGCTTAGTGTCTATTCATACGTCATATCATAGTCATAATTTGTCACATGTTTGCTACATTTCAACATGCCTCTCAACGACAGTCAACAACCACCCCGGTCTTGCTACATTTGTGTCACAATTTCCTTTTAACTGAACCGAAAGAGTTCAACAAATCTTCCACATCCTGTCACGCTCCTGCCGCAGGTCTCCTTACTCAGCACCAAAGCCATAAAGATGTCTGGACTCGTACCATAGTTCCACCACATCTTGCTTAAGCTCCGAATCGCTTTGTGCTTCGGAAAAGGCAGTGACACCGCTTCATTCCCCCACAGTGCCAGTCTCTCCGAATCTCTCTCTTAAAACCTTTGCAGGCAAGACGGACCATAGAGGAATGTCGATGCGCGAACAGACGCTGGTCTCTCCACACATCCCCAGACAGTCGGGTCGTCTCCATGAGTTCAAGATATGCCAAAAATCCTACTGAAATCCCGCCAGAATGCGGTTAATGGATGCGAGTCTACGGTAGCTCCGAGACGGGACCGTGAGGCCTCGAATCGCTAATCGTTCCCTCGGATTGTGTACCTTCGCTGTCTCCAATTGAAGAGCGGTGGGAGGCGAAGAGGTAGAATGGTGGGTGTGGCGGAGAGAGAGAGAGAGAGAGAGAGAGAGAGAGAGAGAGAGAGAGAGAGAGAGAGAGAGAGAGAGAGAGAGAGAGAGAGAGAGAGAGAGAGAGAGAGAGAGAGAGAGAGAGAGAGAGAGAGAGAGAGAGAGAGAGAGAGAGAAGGGGGAGGGATAGAGGGAGAGGGAAAGGGGGGGAGGGTGAGAGAAAGAAAGAAAGAAAAAAAGAGAGCGAGGGAAGGATAGAGGGAGAGGGAGGGAGAGAGAAAGAAACAAAAGAAAGAGAGCGAGAGATAGGGTAAGAGAAAGAAACAGGGGACAAGGGACTCTTTTGGAACAAGGGACTGGAATGACGGAGTAGATTTAAGAGAAAGGTTTCGGGGAATTGGGGCGCGAAGGAAATGGGCGAAGGAAAACCAAAGGACATAATAAAAAAAAAAGGATAATAAGAAGATAAAAAAAAGACAGCGGATACAAAGTCAAGAAAAGATCAGTCGTCAAAGTTCGGAGAAAAAAATAATGGTTTTGTAATAAACATCGGGATCAGCAAGAGAGAAAAAAATAGAAAGAAAATTCAAACAATACTACGAAAAAAGAGGAATGTGATGAAAATGAATAACAGGGATAAGTGAGGAAAAAAATAAAATGAACTAAAATTTAAATAATATGAAGAAAAGGTAGAAAATCACATCGACAGACACATTCGAAAACGAGGCACGTGGACTGGTTGTATGTATTCAAAATGGGAAAAAAGACATTTGTAAATCACATTTCATTTCCCGAAAGTCTTCTCTCATCCATAGTTAGTCAGCAAGTCATTTTCTTAGTGTCAACTTATCTGGCACTCTCTTAATATCTGTCTCTCTGTCTTCCCCTTAATATCTCTGTCTCTCTGTCTTTCTATTAATATTTCTGTCTCTCTGTCCCTCTCTTAATATTTCTATATGCCATTTTCCTCATACATATACCTACCTATCGGTCTATTTACCTATTTACTATATTTCTATTTATGTAACTGTCTCTCTATTAACCTAGCTCTATCAATCATCTATGTCTATATATCTAGATCTCTCCCTATCTATCACTTCATCTATCAATCTATCTCTAGCATCTTATCCATTTACCTGACAATATACCTAACAACCCACAAGTCTATTCAATAACTTATTTATTTAATCATCCGTCTGTATATCCGTTTGTTCTTCCACGTCATCGAACTTTTTTTTTTTTTTTTTTGGGGGGGGGCGAGGTTCAAAGGAAGAACAGGAATAAAAAATAAAGTCAAAAGCGACCAGATTCACGCGCAAGGACGACGCACAATACCGGATAAATCTTTGTGAAAATAAAAGAATTAAAGAAGTCTCTTAGATGTATGTATCCATTATTATTGTTCTTATATTGATCATTATCACTGATATCATCAAAAGTACCATTATCCTCTCCTGATTTTATGTTTTATTATCATTATCATCATCATCATTCTTTATGAAAGTCGCGTTCATTGTAAGTTTCATTCCGAATCACTGTTGCGGTGCTGCTCGAGTCAAAACCCAAGTAGCTTTTGGACCCAGTGGTAACATATCCAAAGAAACACGGCGGTGAGCTTGTAGTTTATTGAGACAAAATACTCGCTTAGCAAACCAGGACCTAATTAAAACACTAACCTTCATATAAAGGCTACACCAGATTAATTTCTTTATCGAGTCGAGCAAAATACGATTAATTTCTGTTGGTCTTCGATTCCCTTATTCGGCACACCGCTCGGATGAAAATAAAAGAAGAAATAAAAACAAAAAATTATGTTAATCAAGCAATCGGGATGAGGGCAGTTAAGTATATAAAAAAAGAATGCGCGGAGATAGAGAGAGCGTGGGCGTGCGTGTGTGTGTGTGTCCGACCATCCACCTTGCCAGACTCACCAACAGGCACGTATCTCTGAACATCAGTCGTTATTGTGCACTACTGGCTGTCAGGACATCACTAACTGGCAGGTGATACACATCAGTGGCTGACACACGTAAGATGTGTACAACCAACAGCTGACGCAAACAAATGATGTACACACCGCCTTTGACGCACACCGCTGGCCCATGTCCTCTCGCTCAGACACACCAGTGATGGACATCTTCGGCCCTCTCGAATGTATTACGTTCAACAACAATTGATAAAAATTAATGAACCACAACAGGTAGGGGCAGACATCGCGCTGCCTCACCTGGTGTTACCTGTCGATCCACAGTCGCGGGGACACAAACACACACACACAAGCCCTCTCGTTCCTCCCTCTCTCTCTCTCTCTCTCTCTCTCTCTCTCTCTCTCTCTCTCTCTCTCTCTCTCTCTCTCTCTCTCTCTCTCTCTCTCTCTCTCTCTCATACATATACGCACCTACATTTGCATAATCGTCCACACACATGCAGTCTTTCTCTCACATACATACACATTTGCATATAAACGCAGTCACACACAGAAACACACGCACGAACACACATAACAAACACACATACACATACACAGAATATATATACGAAATAAAAAAAAAACACACACAAACAAAAAAACATCAATATTTAATCAAATCCAAACCAAACCAAACAGAAAACATACACAAACAAATAAACCAAAAAAGCACAAACAAAACACACAAATAACAAACAGAAAACACACAAAAAAACAAACAAACCAAAAAAAAAAAAATGACAAAACCCACCAACAAAAACAAATGAACGACCAGACGACGGAATCCAAAAGTAAACAAAGCCCGCGCGCCTTACCTTGGAGCCTCGGTGAGCGTCTTCGGGAATGTCGAAGGAGTAAGCAGGCTCGTGGAACACAGGCGGGTTGTCGTTCGTGTCTGTGACCTGTCGGGAGAGAGAAGGTTATCAGTGGATGGTCTTCTTATCATTATTATCGTTGTTTCTTTGCTGTTGTTGTTGTTGTTGATGTTGGTGTTATTATTGTACTTGTTTGGATTAGTGTTATTATTGTTTTTTTGTTTGTTATTATTGTCATCTTTACTAAAATGATTATTCTATCATTATTATTATCATCCTTATTACTCTTATCATTATTATTCACATTATTATTATTGCTGTTGTTATTGTTATCATTATCATTACTATTATCATTATTATTATTATTGATCTTATATTTGTATTATCATTATTATTATTATTGATCTTATATTTGTATTATCATTATTATTATCGATACCATCATTATTACTATATCATCATCATCATCATTACTGTTATTGCTTCTATTATCTTTGTTGTTCCCCTTTTCCCTTTCTTCTGTTTCTCCCCGTCGACATTGCTTCAATTTCATAAAAATCCTCTTCCCACTCTTTTCATTTTCATTTTCCCTTTGGTCTCTCCTTCGCCTCTTCCTTTACATTTCGCTTTTTCTCACTACCCTCTCCCTCCCCCCTTCCCCTTCCCATTTTCCGTAGCATCTCTTCACGTCCCTCTTTTCTTCTCTCCGTATCTTTTCCCTACCTTCTTCCCTTCTCCTTCTTTTCTTATTTTCCCGATTTTCCATTCCCATGTCTCTTTCACTTTTCCTACTCCTATCACCCCCTTTCTTCCTCTACCCCTCCCACTCTCCTCCTTCCCCTGCCCTACTCCCTTCCATCCCCTACCCCCCGCCCTTCCTCCCTTCCTACCCCACCCCCCCACTCCTTCCCCCTCCCCCTCAAACATACACAAACAAATAAACCAAAAAAGCACAAACAAAACACACAAATAACAAACAGAAAACACACAAAAAAACAAACAAACCAAAAAAAAAAAAAAAAAAAAAAAAAAAAAAAAAAAAAAAAAAAAAAAAAAAAAAAAAAAAAAAAAAAAAAAAAAAAAAAAAAAAAAAAAAAAAAAAAAAAAAAAAAAAAAAAAAAAAAAAAAAAAAAAAAAAAAAAAAAAAAAAAAAAAAAAAAAAAAAAAAAAAAAAAAAAAAAAAAAAAAAAAAAAAAAAAAAAAAAAAAAAAAAAAAAAAAAAAAAAAAAAAAAAAAAAAAAAAAAAAAAAAAAAAAAAAAAAAAAAAAAAAAAAAAAAAAAAAAAAAAAAAAAAAAAAAAAAAAAAAAAAAAAAAAAAAAAAAAAAAAAAAAAAAAAAAAAAAAAAAAAAAAAAAAAAAAAAAAAAAAAAAAAAAAAAAAAAAAAAAAAAAAAAAAAAAAAAAAAAAAAAAAAAAAAAAAAAAAAAAAAAAAAAAAAAAAAAAAAAAAAAAAAAAAAAAAAAAAAAAAAAAAAAAAAAAAAAAAAAAAAAAAAAAAAAAAAAAAAAAAAAAAAAAAAAAAAAAAAAAAAAAAAAAAAAAAAAAAAAAAAAAAAAAAAAAAAAAAAAAAAAAAAAAAAAAAAAAAAAAAAAAAAAAAAAAAAAAAAAAAAAAAAAAAAAAAAAAAAAAAAAAAAAAAAAAAAAAAAAAAAAAAAAAAAAAAAAAAAAAAAAAAAAAAAAAAAAAAAAAAAAAAAAAAAAAAAAAAAAAAAAAAAAAAAAAAAAAAAAAAAAAAAAAAAAAAAAAAAAAAAAAAAAAAAAAAAAAAAAAAAAAAAAAAAAAAAAAAAAAAAAAAAAAAAAAAAAAAAAAAAAAAAAAAAAAAAAAAAAAAAAAAAAAAAAAAAAAAAAAAAAAAAAAAAAAAAAAAAAAAAAAAAAAAAAAAAAAAAAAAAAAAAAAAAAAAAAAAAAAAAAAAAAAAAAAAAAAAAAAAAAAAAAAAAAAAAAAAAAAAAAAAAAAAAAAAAAAAAAAAAAAAAAAAAAAAAAAAAAAAAAAAAAAAAAAAAAAAAAAAAAAAAAAAAAAAAAAAAAAAAAAAAAAAAAAAAAAAAAAAAAAAAAAAAAAAAAAAAAAAAAAAAAAAAAAAAAAAAAAAAAAAAAAAAAAAAAAAAAAAAAAAAAAAAAAAAAAAAAAAAAAAAAAAAAAAAAAAAAAAAAAAAAAAAAAAAAAAAAAAAAAAAAAAAAAAAAAAAAAAAAAAAAAAAAAAAAAAAAAAAAAAAAAAAAAAAAAAAAAAAAAAAAAAAAAAAAAAAAAAAAAAAAAAAAAAAAAAAAAAAAAAAAAAAAAAAAAAAAAAAAAAAAAAAAAAAAAAAAAAAAAAAAAAAAAAAAAAAAAAAAAAAAAAAAAAAAAAAAAAAAAAAAAAAAAAAAAAAAAAAAAAAAAAAAAAAAAAAAAAAAAAAAAAAAAAAAAAAAAAAAAAAAAAAAAAAAAAAAAAAAAAAAAAAAAAAAAAAAAAAAAAAAAAAAAAAAAAAAAAAAAAAAAAAAAAAAAAAAAAAAAAAAAAAAAAAAAAAAAAAAAAAAAAAAAAAAAAAAAAAAAAAAAAAAAAAAAAAAAAAAAAAAAAAAAAAAAAAAAAAAAAAAAAAAAAAAAAAAAAAAAAAAAAAAAAAAAAAAAAAAAAAAAAAAAAAAAAAAAAAAAAAAAAAAAAAAAAAAAAAAAAAAAAAAAAAAAAAAAAAAAAAAAAAAAAAAAAAAAAAAAAAAAAAAAAAAAAAAAAAAAAAAAAAAAAAAAAAAAAAAAAAAAAAAAAAAAAAAAAAAAAAAAAAAAAAAAAAAAAAAAAAAAAAAAAAAAAAAAAAAAAAAAAAAAAAAAAAAAAAAAAAAAAAAAAAAAAAAAAAAAAAAAAAAAAAAAAAAAAAAAAAAAAAAAAAAAAAAAAAAAAAAAAAAAAAAAAAAAAAAAAAAAAAAAAAAAAAAAAAAAAAAAAAAAAAAAAAAAAAAAAAAAAAAAAAAAACCTCCCCTCCCCCCACAACCCTCCCCCCGAGGACACAAGAATTAATCCGCGATGCATGTAAATCGCAGCCAAGTACGGTGATCGTGGCCTCTGCAGAGCCTACTAACAACGAGCTCCATTTTGGACGACAAGCACGGCACCGCTCATTAGGCCGCGAAACGACCGTCATCGAGGCCAACCATCATTTCCTGCCCCGCGCCTCTTTTGCAATTGCTCACCGGGTTGCACGTAATCACCGGGATTCCCCTGTTGATGTGTCTATCACCCCTCCCCCTCCTCCCCCCCTTCAACCTCTTTAATATCTGTCTACGTTCCATACCTTGTGTTTTTTTTCTTTCTTTCTTTCTTTCTTCTGTTATTCTCTTTTTTGTCTTTGCCACCTGTCTATTTTTCGTTTTTCTTTCCTTATCTTTAACTTCGCTTATGGTTTCTCCCCTTCCTTTTTCTCCCCTTTTTACTGTTCTTCTTTCCTTCCTCCTCTACTGTCTCCTCATCTCCCTATTCCTCCTCCTTTCCCCTCCTCCTTCTTCCATTTCCCACCTCATTACAACCCCCCCCCTCCCACCTCCTCCCTCCGCGTAAATCGATAATGTGGCTTTTGCGAAGAAGTTGCAAGGGGCGTCTTGAAGCTACGAGTGGGGGGGGGGGGTCGACCTTGAGAAGGCTTTGAGGGACGGGGGGGGGGGGAGTACACGATCTTCTGCCTCCTAGGATGTAGAGGGGGAGTGACGGGATGAAAGGGGGGGGGGGTATGAAAGTTAATGTACTGCTTTTTTCCGGTTGATGCATAATGGACATATTGTGCGTTATTTTAAAATTGCTTTTACAAACATATATTTTTTTAAAGGAGGTCTATTTGAATCAACATTACAGGAACATTTTCATAAAACTCCCGAAAAAATATGCATTTCATTTTGCAATAATTTTTACAATGAAGATAATATATAATTTACACTTCTGCAGAAATGCAAATAAGATAAGAACAAAAGATAAGAACAAATGAAAGAAAAAAAATGAAGACAAAAAAGCAACACTGCAAAGTTGTGTGACAAGGAACACTTTCTGCAACCATGCAAGTGAAGCTTAATTGGTATATATCAATTAAATTAAAAACGCATATACATATACAAATAAGAGCAGGTGCTGCACTAATTGGTATGAATATTGATAAACATATTAATTAGTTGGCAACAGGAGGCCAGACAAAATTCATCTTTCAAACCCCTTTTAGGCTGACTCGCGCGCCTCGCCTTTGGCTTCTTGCGCTGGATTACCGCCGCGCGTGCATGTCGCTTTGTCATTTACACAGATTTGCTTTTAATTCACACTCGCATATACATATATACTTACATACATACACACACACACGCGCACACGCACACGCACACGTACACGCACACACACACGCACACGCACACGCACACGCACACGTACACGCACACACACACACACACACACACACACACACACACACACACACACACACACACACACACACACACATATGCATCCGTGTATGTGTGCTGCGTTCATCTTGACTACCATTTGCATGCTTATCAATGTTAATCCTATTGTTATTCTCTTTACTTGCATTATCAAATAATGGTTATTATACAGTGGTGCTCTTATCCCTGAGTGACACAGCCGTTAAAAGCAGAATCCGTTGTTTCGTTACTTTTTCCATACTTATAATTATTATTTTGCTTTTGATTGAAAACCTCGATATACAGACCGTGGGAAGCATCCTCGGTGGCCCTCAAAGTGCTTTTTTGTCTTCTGCCCAACTAGATAGCTTCTTTTGTTACCTTTCTACACTCTCTCTCTCTCTATCTATCTATCTATCTATCTGTCTATCTCTCTTTCTCCTCCACCCCCTTTTTCTATTTGCTACTTTTCTGTGTCGATTTTGATTTTCCTTTCGTTCTCTCTCGTCCCATCCTTGCTCCCATCTTTTCATCACCCTTTTTCGTCACCTCTTTAACACCTGTTCTCCCTATTTCCTGTTCTTTCTATGGTCCCCTCTTCCTCCATTCCACTCTTCACTTTCCAGACTCTTTTCCCTCCCCTCTTCATTCTCTTTTTTTCTGTCCTAGTCCTTTTCTCTGTCTCTCCCTCGGCTTCTTTCTTTCCTTCTGTTCTCTTATCGCCCCTCCCTCCTGCATCTCCGCGTCGTCTTTCCTTCCATCATCCTATATTCTCCTCTGTCCATTCCTTTCCCTACCCTCACCTCCCATTCCTCCTTCCTCCTCCTCTTCCTCTTCCCCATACTCCCTTCACTCCTTTTCCTGCCCCCTTCCCACCTTGTCTTCCTCTCCCTCCTCACCTTGTCTTCCTCTCCCTCCCCATCTTCCCTTCCTCTCCCTCCCCTACTCCTCTTCCTCTTCCTCCTTTCCTTCACTTTCCTGCCCCCTTCCCAAATTCTCTTCTTCCTCCCCCTCCCAACCACGATCTCTTCCTACCGGCCTCTGATCCTAGCGGTACCAGTCCACAGGAGAGAGAGAGCGAACGCGTGCTACCCGGACAAGGGAGGTGCATAAACTGCCAAATACGGGACCGAGTGCGCCTGCGTGACCCAACTCCGCAACACGACGGCGCGCGAACAAAGGAGAAAAAAGGGGAACACGACGTATGGATTTTGAGAGGGTGGAAGCGGTTGCAGTGGGGATGGCGGCGACCTTCTCTCCTGTAGACCGCTGTTTGTGTCTGTAGGGGTGTGTGTATGTGGCCTGTTTGTTTTATAATGGTATATGCAGCCGTATGCCTTCGTACGGGCGTGCTATGTGGGGCTACGTGTGTAAGAGTGTAGATGTGTCTGGGGATTTGGTTGCAGCGTCTGTGCGTGTGTCTGTGTGTACATGTGTGTGTGTTTTACTTGGGTATATGTATGAAGACATATATGCATGCAGTTATGAGATAGATAGATAGACAGAAAGATAGACAAATAGATAGACAGATAGATAAAGAGAGAGAGGAGGGAGAAAAATATGTAGATAGATTAAGAAAGAGAGGCGAGAGAAAAAAATAAAATAAATAAATAAATATAGAAAAAAAATAATAAAGAGAAAAGGGGGGAAATAAATAGAAAGAAAACCCAAAAGGATAAAAGAAAAGAAAAGAAAAAGTATAGAAAGGAGAGGAGAGAAAGTGTAACCGAAGCAGGTTGGGAGAACAGGAAGAGGGAGATATAGAAGGAGATGAAGAATGCAACTTTTCACGCGGCAAAAAAGGAATGGCGGCGAGTCGGAAAACCCTCGCTGATTATTCCACGCGAGAGAGAAGGGGAAGGAGGAGAAGGAGAAAAAGACGGAGGTAACAAAACCAAGAAAGATAGAATGAGGATAATGAGGATATGGCGAAGAGAAAAGTAATGTGTAAATAGGTATAAGTATAAGAAAAAAGAAGAAGTGAAGGAAAAGGCAGTGAAAATATAAGTAGGTTAAGTATACGTACAAATACAGTTGGTATTAAAAAGTATAAGCAAGAATAGAATTGCAGAAATGAAGGAAGAGACAATGTTTGGATGAATAATGGGAATTATTGAAACAAATAAAACATACACAAGACCCAAGATCATGTCCCATTACCCCAACTTAGCAAATAATAACAACAGCAATAAAAATAATATATAAAAGCTGACTGATTTCACAACCACTTCCCCATTTCAAAAATAACAAAACCCACAACATCGCCGGTAAACAAGGCCTTCCGTACCCCTATGTAGATGGTGGTGTCCGTGTACTGCTCCCCGTCGTCGGCGCGGACGGTGAGCTGGTACTCGCTCTTGGTCTCCCTGTCGAGGGTGTCCTGGAGGCTGAGTTGTCCCGTGGAGGCGTCGAGGGTGAACTTGTTGTCGTCGCCGTCCACCAAGGAGTAGGTGAGAGTGCCGAGGGTGTCTGGATCAGTGGCCCCAAGGATGGCGATCTGGCGGCCGGCGAGCATGTCTTCGGACACGGTGAAGCGCAGAGGGGACTCGCCGAAGGAGGGAGGCGAGTCGTTCTTGTCGAGGACTGTCACTTGGACCTGCGGGAGGAGAGGGCGCTGGGTTAATGCTTGTTTGGCGAAGGTTATTAATTAAAGAAAGAAATGCGAATGAATACGCGCAAAATAAACGAACAAATAAGCAAATTGATAAATGAATAAATAAATACACACATACACATATAGATAGAGAGATAGAGAGATAAATATACATTAAAGAGAACTTCCAAACACCTTCCGCACACATACTCTCGCCTCTCTATAACAAGCGCTCAATAAACTGCCACAAGGCCCCACCACTTGCGCTCTTTTATAACCTCAATTACACCAAGTGTGAGAACCTCTACACTTTTTGCAACTGCCCTCTTTGTTTATATTTATTTAAACCTTACGAGGCGATGCGCACACACACGTATACACACACGAACATTTACATCCAACACACAGCCTCCCTCTTCGGGCAAAGATACACGCAGACGTCGCCGCAGAAATCATGCCAATGCTAATAAAGCTTATGATGCAACAGCGGCGTTGATAAAGATTGATCGCATATTTTACAGTGTCATCATTATGAATGTTACTGCAAAAACATGAATTATTAACGATGACAATGAAGTCTTACAAGAGTCTATGACATCAAGTGACATCCGCAGCATAATAAAAGATGTCAAGGTAACCGCATTATGTTATGTAATGTAATCGAGAGAAATATATATATATATATATATATATATATATATATATATATATATATATATATATATATATATATATGTATGTATGTGTGTGTGTTTATGTGTGTGTGTATCTATGTATGTATATACAAGTGGCAACAGAGCAGAAGAAATATGTTCATGTCCAGAATCCAGAGTAAATAAAGAGAAAACCACAATCGCAATTGCAACATAAAAAGGAGACGTGGAAATACTCCGGCCCAGAGCGCAAGCAATGACAACCACAAGCGAGTGATTGACTCGAGACAAATTGGACACGTAAATGACATGACAAAACACCACATGCGGCGCGATAAACAAACGGGCGAGATAGAGATGACACACAGGCTTCCAGCGGGCGAGCGAACACTTTAAGAGGGAAGGGGAGGCGTCGCACGTCACCTGCCGCCTCCCCCCACCCCCCTGCCTCTTGGCCACCCCACCCCCCTTCTTCTGTCATTTGACATTGCTATTTCTTTCTCCTTCCTCGTTTCCTTTACCTCTTGTCTCCTTTTCCGTCTACTCATTCCAATATTCCTCATTCTTCTTCTTCTTCTTCCTCTTTCCCCTTCCTCCTCCTCTATTTCTGTTCCTCTTCCTCTTCGCCCCCCATCTCCCCGTTCCTCCTCCTCTCCCACCTACCCCTCCACCTCCTCCTGCTCCTCCTGCTCCTCCTGCTCCTCCTCCTCCTCCTCCTCCTTCTCCTCCTCCTCCACCTCCTCCTCCTCCTCCTCCTCCACCTCCTCCTCCTCCTCCTCCACCTCCTCCTCCACCTCCTCCTCCTCCTCCTCCTCCTCCTCCTCCTCCTCCTCCTCCTCCACCTCCTCCTCCTCCTCCTCCTCCTCCTCCTCCTCTTCTTCCTCCTCCCGCTCCCCTCCCCCCTCGCCCCTAAATCAGCTGGATAGACAAGAAGGTTTTCTCAAGCCAAGTGTAAGTCGATATTACCTTTTCCATCTTGGCAACATGACCTAAGTGGGTGGTATTCGCCGGCGTCTTTATATTGAATTTACTGCCGTCTTGTTTTTGCACTTTTAAGGAAAATGTTAAGATGAAGGAGAACGTTTAACGAAGAGTTAATGACATCTGGATTTGGTATTGTTTTTGAAGCATTGGCTTTGGCGTAGAACAGTTTTATGCCCTTTCTGTTTAGTGGTGAGTATGTGTACACGAGTGGAATGATACGCTCAAACAAACACACAAGCTTACACACACACAAACATCCCCCCCCCCCATCCAACTGACCACCCTCCCTCACACACACAAAACTCACCCCCCTGTCGCCTTCCCACAAACACAAACACACACACACACTCAAACACACACACACACACACACACACACATACCCCCCCCCCCCCTAACGCAAGTAGTCCACCGCACACACACACGGCCGAAGTCCTCATCTTCCTTCACGAACACGTCTTGATCGGTTCTTAGAAGACGTCTGGAGGTGCACACGTGGACGCTCGATGGAGGCCGGTTCTCCAGCCGTGATATATTACTGTCATTGTCGGCGGCAAGGCGAGGGGAGGGGGTGGGGATGTGGGGATGGAGGTGGGGGTGGAGGTGCAGGAAGGGGAAGGGGATGAGAGAGGTGTTGGAGAGGGGGGTGTTGGGGAGGGAGTGGGTTGGGGGAGGTGTTGGAGGAGGGGAGACAGGTGAGTGGAGAGGTGTGGGAGGGGGACTGTTGGAGTAGGTGTGGGAGGGGGGGAGTGGAGGTGTGGGTGGATAGTTAGGGGGGGAAGGGAGAAGTGTAAGAGGGGGTGGTGGTAGGGGGAGGGAAGGAGAGGGGGAAGAGATAGGTAACGGACTTTGCTTTCTTTTTCTGTTTTAACGGCAACTGATGGATATGCCCAAAAGGCCTATTGCTCTTTTGCGAAGAAGAAGAAGAAGAAACACGACACGACTTTGTCCACCGCTTTGACTGCCTTTTTCTCACCTCCTGCTCTTCATCATGTCCGTCTTTCATTCTCTCTCTTTCTCTCTCTCTCTCTCTCTCTCTCTCTCTCTCTCTCTCTCTCTCTCTCTCTCTCTCTCTCTCTCTCTCTCTCTCTCTCTTGCTCTCTCTCTCTTCTGTCTCTTTCACTTCTCCTCTTCACCCCTTCTCCTCCTTCTTCTACAACTACTACTTCTCCTTGTCTTGGCAATATCTTCTTTTATATTAATTTATTTTCTCTCCTTGACGCAGGTAGTTGGGCCCTGCGCGCCCTTCCTTCCAGCCCCTGCACCGTCGCCAGCAGGAGGCTGCGCACGTCACCGAGGATCTACGACCTCTTGCACGACCAGTAGCCGTGGGTGATACCATGCGTTCTGGATGAGTATTGATAAGGAAGCCACTTCAGAGGTTCCTGTCTTCCTATCAATCATTGTTTTGTTTTTTTTCTTTCTTTCTTTCTTTCTTTAATTGCCACGTCTCTCTCACAATAACAAAGTGCAACAATCGGCCCACGCAAGCGAGACCCCAGCCGCCCTCTCCCACAAGCATCCCCACCCCTCCCCTCCCCTCGCCTTTCCTTCCCTCCCCTCTGTGCCCCTCCCCGACGCCAAGCCGTTCCCCTCCCTTCCCCTCCCGCCCTTCCCTTCCTTCCCCTCCCGCCCTTCCCTCCCTTCCCCTCCCGCCCTTCCCTCCCTTCCCCTCCCGCCCTTCCCTTCCCTCACCCCTCGCCGTCCCCTCTGGAAGTCGGACGACCACCGTCTTCCCAGAGAGCGCACAACCCCGGGACCCACAGCACGACCCTTCCCTCTCACGACCGGGCGCCCCCTTTCCCTCTAAGGTGCTTCCCCTTTCCCCAGTCCCCAAGGGCTTCGGGGTCCGCGCGAAAGACCCGCCCGCGTCATTCCGTTGGAGTCGAGATCTGGGACGCAGATTTGGGAACGAAAAAAAAAAGGAAAAGAAAAGAGAAAATGAGGCTTTTTGGTTGACAAGGGGAAATTCTTTCGCTCACACCGTCGAATGCTTTAAGAGGTACATGTGTTTCTTCGCCTCTGAGTTCAGCGCTTTGGAAAATAGGAGAGAAAAAGAATGGAATGCAGGAAGAACAAGAAATTTCTAACCGTTTGCATTAGACAGTGAAATAAAAAAAAAAAGTGTATAATCTTACGGTGTAATCCAACTACGTATATTTTCTCACCGAAATGTATTTTCTTCTACATTATTTCTTTTAAAATTCATATCCTTTTTTATTCATTATTTTTTTTCGCAGTTCACGATATATTTTTTTATTCTAATGCATTTTCTTTAAAGTTCTCAAAGTTCTTTTCTTCAGATGTCCATAAGGCACGGGAGAGGGGAAGGGTGGAAGGAGGGGGGGAGGGGGTACAGTGGGGGAGAGAGAAAAACGTTCTTGTATCATTATGCATATGCCATCAATCCCGACTTTGTCATTACTCGTCCACGACTGAAACGCAACAAGAAAATATTGCAAAAAAAAATTCGAAACTTGCTTGACACTACAAGAGAGGTCCCATGGGAAGGGGGCGGGGGGGGGGGGGGGGGGAGAGAAAAGGAGGACGAGGAGGATGGGGGAAGAGGTGGAGAAGGCAGAGGAGGGGGAGGAAGAGGTGGAGAGAAGGAGGAGAAGAAGGAAGAAGAAAAAGAAGACGAACAACAACAAGGAGAAGAAGAAGAAGAAGAAGAAGAGGAGGAGGAATATGAGCAGGAAGAGGAGGAGGAGGAAGCGGTGAGGAAAGCTGGAAGGAGAGGGGGAGGGGGAGGGAGAATGGCAGGAGAAAGAGGATGGGGAGGAGGGAAGGAATGAAATAAGTGGGACAGGAAGAGAAATCGGAGCTGGAAGGAACAAAGATGAGGAAACGCGGAGAGGTGAATGGGACAAGGAGAAAAAGAGAAGACACAATAGAACTGAATGAAGGGAGGTAGGAGGGCGGGAGAACAAGGGAGATAAAGAAAGGAAGAGAAGAAGAGCGAGGGGAGGATAAGAAAAAAATGCAATTAATGGCGATGCCTGAAATGAATGGATAAAGATTCGCATCTATAAAAATAGAAACAAAATACGAATAATAGACAGAAGAGAGAAACGGATACGCAGGCAAATTAGAGGGCTAGATAGTTAAGCAGTTAGATAGATATATAATAAATAAATAAATGGACAATAGTTATGTTGAGAGAGAGGGAGAGAGAGAGGGAGGGGGAGAGAGAGAGAGAGAGAGAGAGAGAGAGAGAGAGAGAGAGAGAGAGAGAGAGAGAGAGAGAGAGAGAGAGAGAGAGAGAGAGAGAGAGAGAGAGAGAGAGAGACGAGAGGTCATCTGTCTGCTACAGTTATGACCGTCGGCCTCGACAGTTGGTCACCAGACCGACAAGGCACCTCCTCTC